AAATTTAAGAATTTACTAATAAATACTCTGTTAAGTGTTCTGGCCAATTTTTTTCATTGTAAATTTTCATTGATGATAAAATATTGTTTAAAATTTCATGACAAATGGATATCATTTGTATTCTCATTTTGGATTCAGAAATTTTAGCTTAAAGAATCTTTATTTATTGAATTGATTTGAGATTGGCTTGTTCCTTGTGTTTTGTTAGTTATAGTTCTTCAAATTTATCTTGTATTTGTTTATTATATTGTTGGATGGTTGATTAATTGATTTGTCTATTTTTTAAATAAGTTGGGATTTGTTATATTTAAGGGAAAATTCTGTCAAAATTTTTATAAAATAAAAAAGACATTACCTTTAATTTGTAATTAAGTGTTAGTCAATTTTAATTTATTAACTAACACTTAATTATTTTATTTATTTGAATATTTGAATTGAGTAGTTAGAATTGAGCTTGACAGTGCAACTATGCTCATTGACTCTATAGAACAATAGATCGTAATTAGATGAAAACTAAAAAAACTAGCAAAGAATATGAGGATGGAGTTGAAAGGTTTTTTGAGTTTGCTCAGAGAAGTGCTCCTAGTAAAAGAGATGGTTTGTATTGATGTTCTTGTTTCAAATGTTTAAACAATAGTCGGCAAAGTATTCATGAAATAAGTGAGCATTTTATTTGTGATAGAATAAATTTGAAGTATACAAATTGGATATGACATGGTAAAATTAGAAAGACTACATTGTCTGAAAAGGAGAAGGTTGTGAATGATGACTTTGGTGATAGAATTTCAGATATGTTTCATGACATAAGGTCTTAGTCCTTTGCACCGTTCTCTTGCACATGTGAAAACTTGTGTAGTGATGCAGAGACGCCTTTGTACCCAGGGTGTAAAGATGATACACAAGTAATTTCTTTCTATGTTTCAGGATTCACATATGATTAAAAGTGGGAAGGATAATAATAATCAGACGCAACAACTGACAGTGTTTGACCCTGACCCTAGCCCTGACCCTGCCTAAGGGACTGCCATGTGCTTTTTATGTGGACTTTGAATATTCATCTCTTCATGTCGCTAATGGTTGAGCATTGTTAGGCACAACGATCCATGGCAAGAAAGTTCCGAAGGATCAAGTGAGGGTGACAGTGGATAAGGTTCGTAGTAGTCAAGGTGGTACACCAGTACCCATCTCTATTGATGAGGTTCGACTACTGGCTCAGGCTAAAAGAAATTTCATTTTGTGGCCAAAGAGACTTGTTAGAAAGCCAATAGCAGCGAAGAAGGTGACAGCAAAAAAGGTGATAAAGAGTGTAGATCCTGTCCTCCAGCCTCTTCCTAATCATATTGGGGTTATGTATGGAAGTTTGGCACTTCTTCATTCTATGGTGGAAAATATGAAAAACCCCTTTACTTTCAACATGCCACTGGGGATTATGGGTTCAGATGTAACATACGATTTCATTATTGACAAGAAGGACCTCATTCAATCCCTCAACTTTGAGTAGCTGGATATAGTCTTCACGCAACTAGCTATTTTATAAGTTACAATGTCAATTTCTTATTTCATGTTATACTTATGTATGTCCTAATATTTTTTATTTGAACAACAGGCACTTTACTTGCGTTTGTCGACATAGAGGACTTGAGGGCACACATGGCTTTATGTGCCCTCAAAAGGTACAAAAATAATAAATACTATGAAAGCAAGGTTGATCTGCATGATGACCACAATAACTCAGATGAAAAAAAAATTATATTTTGCACCTTACGTGGAAGGGTAAGTATATTATTGTATATGAAATATACAAGTTATATATACAGAATTATAATTAACATAGTTCGTATTTTATACTTATCATGGGACCCTAATTGTTTTTGCCTCCTTTGACAACAAAATTTACTGGTTCAATTCCCTTCGCAGAAGTCCACAAGAAGAAACCAAAAATGTTATTGACACGTGAGTTTATATTTATATATTTCTTACATGTAAAGTTTGCAAAAACATGCTCTAATATCATTTTCTTCTGATTACTAATAGGGTTTTTCATGGTTTTAATATTGTGGCCAAGGAGAAAAATAAGCCACTAGCAAGATGGATTCTCCCACAAGTATGTTATTTTGAACTAAGTATATGCTTATAAATCTTTTCAATGATCAAAGTTAATGTTTATAATTTTTTTTTAATAATCAAAGTTAGATATTCAATTTTACATTTTATTTTGTTAGTACTGTTGTCAATCTGGAAGTGTTAAATATGAATATTATATCTGCTATATAAATGGCATTATTAAGATTGGGGTTACTGAGAATTTAAACAAGGTAAATATAGGTTAATTACATTTCATCTAATTCTTCAATTCTTTTCATATTTTTGATCAAGTTGACTAATGACTATGTTGTTTTAAATTTACAGGCATTCTAAGATAGTGTGCCATATGACACTAAGAAAATCAACTTGATGAGAGATACTTTAACAACAACATTGCTTGAGAATTTTGAAAATATGAAATAGTTAAGTCATTCATCACATTTTAGTTCATTGTTTGATCATTAACTAGTTGAGTAGTTGTTGATTATAATGTGTAGATGATTGAATAAGAATTGGATGTTAGTGTTAGGATAAACGACTTGACATAGTTTTGCATATTCTTCTACTCTGCTGGTTGTATTTGGCTCTGTAAATTATAAGGAAGTTATAAAGAAAATTTACTTAGGATTTTAAAAAAATCTCTTTTTAACGGCAGTTATTCGTATAACCGCCGTTAAACATATTTTTAATGACGGTTATATATTAACTGCAATTAGAAGTTGTATTTCTATGATGGTTTATTTAGTGAAACCGCCATGGAATATAAACTGCTATGAAAAGTTTACTTTCGATGGCGTTTTAAAGAAAAACCGCCTTGGAAAGTCTTTTTTCATGACGGTTAGAAACTGCTGTGTTTTATTCTCCTTACAACATCAATAGAATTTATTTCGTCTCTAAAGCTTCTGCGAAAAATCTTTTTTAACCGCGGCTTTTTCTCTAGTAGTTCTTATTTTTCTCAAATTCTCTCGCATTGTAATGAGAAATTTTGAGAAGAAAAGATTTATTCCCTGGCTGTCCTTACTCCCTCTTAACTTCTCCCGGCCATTCTCCACATTGGCGTGCCTCTCTTTACTTCTGACGTAACTCATGCAAATCAAATTAATACATCCGTATTAGTTTACAAGAGTTAAATAAATGAATTTGATATAAATAATAAATATTAAATATGAGAAATAAAATAGATCAAAATCTTATATTTAGTACCAAAACTAATGCTCTAATTACGCATACATATGGGAGGTGTATATTTTTCTGCCAAATAATTTGGTTTTAAAATATTTCAATGATATTAAATTTAATATAATTTTTCATTCAATTTATTTTGATATATGGGGATAATTGTCTGACACATGATGTGTTCTAACATAAAAGTATTATGATTGTTGTGACATTTCCTCATTTTCTTTTCTCCATGTTCACTTTTAATGTTTTATTCATCATGTAAACACAGAATGTTAACGTAATCTCTTTGATCCCTTTTATCTCGTTTTCTTTTCAACTAACTTTTACTTTTAAAATAAAGCTTAGAGGTTAGACCCTACGCCCAACAAAACTGATAAAAGGTATTCTTTATGTAATTTGAATAATATATCTTTCATTATGCAAAGCATGAAGAGATGATACTCTATATATAATTTTTTTTCTCTCTTCATAGTCATTTTTTCTATTTCCTTTTGACTATAATATATAACGTGTCCATAGGGAAAAAAATTAAATAAAGTCTGAGAATAATTTGGCCATAATAATAATAATAATAATAATAATAATAATAATAATAATAATAATAATATTGATTCAACACATTGAACGATTCAAAGTTAATTATCTTTGTTAATTCTTCTAGAACCGAACAACTAAATAGAGGAGCTAGCCTTTGTTTGGACGTCTACCTAACCTTCTAGCTGCTACTTCATTAACCTATCTAGGTTATTACGTGCCCATCTTTCATGAGATTTTTCATTTAGAGAATTAAAATATTTATTAAAAAATTTAATAGTCATATTTTTAAATTTAAAAATATACTGAATAAAATAATTTTTTCTTTCTAATTAATTAAAAACTACTGGTTTAATTAATAATAGAAAAAACTGTTAGTTTACCAAAAAAACTAACAAACCATTAAAAATAATAAAATCTAGATGATTCAGATCAGATTAGCCAATAATTTGCTTATACATGTATGATTTTTAGTTTTGTTCATTTCTTTCATGTATATTTGATAAACAACTATATTATTAAGCGAGACTTTTTAATTAATAATTTATTCAAATATTTAATTGTTATAAAGTATAATGATGCTACACAACCGCGTAACCAATCCTATTTAATGAGACAATACGAGTAACCAATCCTATTTAATGAGATAAGACTTGTTATTATAGGAGTCGCTGTTTGTGTTTGTTGGTAGGTCCTATATGTTATGGTTGCTATTGGCATGTTTCCTGGTTTCCAAAGTTTTGACTCTTTAGAGACTGCGTGTTTAGTAAAATTGGAATACACACAAATGTCAAAGAATTAGTCTTAGCCGCCGCTCCAAGTAATTAAAAGTCTCGCAAGAATATTGAAATGTTCCTCCCCATGGTTGCCATTTTCACATCTATCTTTCCACCATTTATATCTCTTCACTTTGTCACTTATCTCTCTGACTGACTCTGTCCAGCTTCTCGAATTGAACCTCATTTATGAGACGACTTTGACATTACCTGTTCTCCAGAATCCTTACGTGTGAAAATATTATAGCTAGGCTAATTAAATTGAACTTCTCACTTTGCTCTGCTTCCCAGAAATTCCCAGCTTCAAATTTTGAAGGCCTGGTTTTCAAATCTGACGATGTGAGTGACGTGCACACATATATCTTCCAACATTTCAGTTTCATTCATTGCTCTCAAACCCCTTTTCTTTTTTCCAATCACGAAATGAATCCTTCTGATCTTCCCCAATGTTCCGTCTTCTTCTTCCTTCTGCTCCTACTTTTCGTTATCACAGTTCATGCCGATGATAGATTCAAAAACTGCAGTAGCCACTTCAACTGTGGAATCGTCAACAACGTTGGGTATCCATTCTGGGGAGATAACAGGGCAGACTACTGTGGTCAGCCTGATTTCCATCTCGCTTGCCAACACAATACTCCAAAGTTGATCGTCAAATCTGTAACTTATAGGATTCTGAGTTTCGACCTCAATGATCAGAGACTCACAGTGGCCAGGGATGACTATTGGACAACTATATGTCCAACTCAACACATAAACACAAGCTTCGATTCCACCATGTTCAAGCTTTCTGATGGGTTTCGACAATTCGTCTTGCTTTATGATTGCAGCGACAGTTTTGATGCAATGAGTGACTCTATCAATTCATCAAGCACAGAGTGCTCCACTATTGACGGCTCGACGGAAGAAGTCTACTATGCGATCCTATCTTACGGTATTGATTTCACAAGATTTTGTGAGGTGGTTGTTGTTCCTATAACGAATGCCTTCGTTGATTTGGTACTTTACCATCGAAAGAAAATCGAAGAAGCAATAAAAGAAGGTTTTGGATTAAGTTGGAGCGTAAATAATGAAGAGTGCAACAAGTGTGTTCATTCTGGTGGGCAGTGCGGGCATAGTGATCAGAAGTTCTTGTTTCTGCAGCAACGGAAGTCAAGGAACTGCGACGTGTTCTTCATCAGGTGGGCTTTCAGGTATGTTGATCTCTAAATTCCAAAAATGGAGCTTTCTCATCATGCAACAGTGATTTACATTTTCAAAAGGGTTCTAGGTGAAATGCTTTTCACCTGTCTAAGTTGGTTGCAGAATATTGGCTTACTTTATATGAACGTAGAGAGAAATTTGCCTTTTAGCTTTACTTTATCGATTCTAAATATAATATAAGAGTTAGTTAAGCAATTTATTTTAGTGTAAATGTAAAACCTTGATTTATTTTGTCTCACAAATTTATAATTCTTCTTCTCCCAAATATTTTTATTGATTACATATAAAAAGGAGATTTTTATCAATTCAATATGGGCGGTTTCCAGTACAAATGATTAAACTTTTCACTAATACATATCTATTATAAATAATTAACTTAATTTTTTTAATTTTTATAGATTAGTTACTTAATTCATATATTTGAGATAGGAGGAAGCAATAGATATTGTTAATTTTTCCAAGCAAGACCACAACGATTGATTCAGATGGGGTGGGTTGCTGATGAATCTTGACTCTTGGGATGTAGAAAACAGCAGTCTCTATTAGAAAGCCAAACAATACTATCCCATCCTAAATATAAGGCTTAATTTATAGTACAATTTACATTAAATCGTCTTCACAAAACATAAGATATATTTATGTCTCACGCTCAAGTGACGTCACATTTGGACATTTCGCAAACTCGCACCCCCTAGCATCTAGAAGGTTCAAATTATGTGCGATATTTTATAGTCAAAATCCTCCATGTTTAGCATAGAATCTTAGTCGTTGTCAGATAAGGGTGAGGTACCTGGAAAACATGGATCAGATGGAAACTAGGAATGTGGATTTTGGTGTTTAATACTGAAAACCCGTGGGACACGCATGTTAGACTTTCCAGGCACTCGTGAATCATGCTGAAAAATGCAGAGCATTCGTGTGCTGTGCTCGTTCATTATTTTTTTTTCATTTTAAAATAGAAGTTAAACATGTTTCCTCATTCATTATTTTGACCCAACCTACACGCAACTATCTAATACCCATGAGATTCTGCTTTTGGATTTTTTTAGTGTCAATTTTTTTCCCCCGAATTGAACCACCTAGTATCCTGGGTTTGACCTATTTTTAAATGGAGCACTGGCTAATCCGAATCAAGTTAGGTATAGGAATACAAAAGGCAGCAAAACTCTCCGACCAAATATGTAATGCAATTGCATTCTCAGAACTTGACACTTTTGGTTAAGGTAGTACAATATCTTGCTGGTACCTGCTAATGCCTTTGTTTTCTTTGGAGAGATACAAATCGAGACTTTCAAACCCTAGACAAAGTTATGCTGCTGTGTGCACTTTTTTCCCTCACATATTCCTAAGTAGATGATGTAGACCCAGAAGGAACTCAAGGCATATTTATGCTGTTATTACTAGTATACACTTTGTACTGCACAATGACTGCTCAAGAACAAGTTTCATTAACTCCTCTTCTTATCTATAATGCATTAATTTCTAGCAAATCCAAGCCCTGGAAAGCTTCACTTCTTCTGGTGACTAAATGTTTCATGTTGATAATTGACTATCAGAAAATGGTCCACATCTTTCTCTAATATCTTCATCGCAATATTTATGTCAAACACTGTTTTTCAGTAAGGAACTCTGAGACACTGTTCTCTGTTTCCTGTTCATATTTGAATCTGAGGCTATACACTGATCACCTGTTGTTATTTCTTTTATATATGCTCCTATATGATGCCAGTTTTAATATCTCAATTGATGTGAATTTTAAAGGTAAAAGGTCTAAGAATACGGTTGCTGTAGGTAAAATCTATTCTGTTAATCCATTAACTAAATTTTGATGAAATCTCGGAGTTATGGAATAAAACATTGTCTCATTTCTTGCTTGTTGCTTAGGTGTTGGTGTTGGTGTTGGTGTTGGAGTTGCAGCTTTTTGTGGCGTTCTCATTGTATGTTTGTTCTGCTTTGTTATGAAAAGAAGGAAAAGAAAAGTTGAACAGTTGAAAAGCAATAAGAACCTCTTGTCGCCATCATTAAGCAATATTAATGGCGGTGTGACAACCTCTACAACTGCAAATAGTATGGCTCAAACTGCTCCTTCTTACCAAACCTCCAAGCTTGACTCTGCGCAGAAGAGTTTTTACTTTGGAGTTCAAGTTTTTAACTATGCTGAACTAGAAGAAGCTACCAAAAATTTTGACCCTTCCATGGAACTTGGTGATGGAGGCTTTGGAACTGTTTATTATGGTAACAAGAACATCATATCTCAAATACATACGCACATATATACACACATCACTTTCTCATATACAATTTAGGATTTGAGTCCTTTGAAGAGAATCTTGATCCTATGATTTAAGTAAAATTAACATTTTTGTCCTTATAATTTTGACTCAATTATAATTCAATTTCTAAACTTTAGCTTAATATAACTCAATTCTAATAGTTTTGACTCTATCGCTGAATTTTGACTCAATCTTTAATAGTTTATCTATTTAAAATATTAGTCTTTATATATATTTCATGACACAAGGACTAGAGTTTTAAGTGATTAAAATTATAAAGATTGAGTTACAATGAATTAAACTTTAAAGACCTAATTTTAACCGAGTCAAAACTATAAGGATTGAATTGCATCTAATTAAAGAGTCAAAACTATAAGGGCCAAAAGATTAAATTGTCCCTTATTGATGGCATGTCATTAAAGCTCTATTGTGATTTCTTGTCAGGAACCCTTAAAGACGGACGTGTGGTGGCAGTAAAACGCCATTATGAAAGCCATGCGAAACGTGTAGATCAGTACATGAATGAAGTCGAGATCCTAGCTCGCTTACGACATGACAACCTCGTAGCACTGTATGGATGTACCTCCAGACACAGTCGAGAACTCATCCTTGTCTATGAGTACATTTCTAATGGAACAGTCGCCGACCATCTCCATGGCAAACTATCTCGCTCATCTTTGCTTCCTTGGCCTATACGCATGAACATAGCAGTAGAAACAGCCGAAGCCTTAGCCTACCTTCACGAATCAGATGTCATACACCGAGACGTCAAAACCAACAACATTCTCCTAGACAACAATTTCCGAGTTAAGGTTGCTGATTTTGGTCTCTCACGTTTGTTTCCTAATCATGTCACACATGTTTCTACTGCTCCACAAGGCACACCTGGTTATGTCGATCCTGAGTATTATCAGTGCTATCAGTTAACTGATAAGAGTGATGTTTATAGTTTTGGGGTGGTATTAATCGAGCTCATATCATCCTTACAAGCTGTGGATGTAACTAGGAATCATCGTGACGTAAACTTAGCCAACATGGCTGTGGATAGGATTCAGAATAATGCAGTGGATGAGTTGGTTGATCCATATTTAGGGTTCAAAACGGACAATGCTGTGAGGAAGATGACTACCGGAGTAGCAGAATTAGCTTTCAGGTGTTTGCAGAAGGAGAGAGATATGAGACCTTCCATGAAAGAGGTGATTGAGGTCTTGAGAGAGATCCAAGGTAAGGAGTATAACGTGAAGGACAAGGAAGTGATGAAGATGATGGGTAAGGCAGAAGAAATGGTGCTTTTGAAAAATTGCAGTGCACCAGTTTCACCAAATTCGGTTTCTGATAAATGGGTTAGCTTCTCTTCTGCGTCTAACTCCTCACAGAATCTATCATCTCCTAATTATTCTGTTGGTAAGACTTAGAATTAGTAAGCTTCACAGTTCATATAATTTCAGAGACCCTTTTTGTTCTCATTCTTAGGACACTTACGCATGTTGTGGGATTAATAGGTGAGAGTGAAATTATTGTTGATTTGGGTCATTTAAAACACAAACACACACACACACACTGCCTTGTATATAGAAACCACGTTTTGATGGATTAGTGTTTCTTTTGGATTATAAATGTTTTGGCTTCCTGATATATGTATATATATAGATAGATAGATGGATGGATGGATAGATAGATATAGTCGGCACTTGAATGATTGGATTGAAAAGGAACCGACTTGATTGGTGTGGCAGTCAGTAGTGAGGTGCCCTCATGTTTTTCTTTTCAGTATTCAAGATCAGAATCTGAGCCTGGGAAAAGTGCTCAGTATAAAGCTCATATAGTAAAAAACTAATTAATTAATTTGAGTATATTACAACTGTTAGTTAAATTAATTAATATGATTTTTTTTTCTAAAATATCTTAACCATACTCATTAATCTTCTCTCTGTTTCTCCTACTTGATCATTGTTGAAAAAATATTAATAGGATTATTTAAGAAAAAATTGATAAACATATAAAATAAGTCTTACATATAGGACCAACATCAACTCTCCACTTAGATTTCACATTTAGAACCGGAGAAGTATTATTTTTAGTTTAATTTTCACTTGCCATCTTTTTTTCCCCTCTATTTCTGTTATGGGCGCATTGTGTTCAATTACTTCAAACAACGTAAATAACACAAATCTAGTTATGCTGCTTAGATTTGATATGATTCGGAATTTAATTCTCTCCCCCTCTCTCTGAGTTGAATTTTGATTTTGATAATTTAAAAAGGAGATAAACATAATATGTATCAGCTTTTTAAATGATGATCACTTCAGTTTTATGTTATCTTTCTCTTTCAAAATTAAGTAATGTGGACAATGTTCTGAAAACGGGACAGTTCACCAAGCGAATGTTATCAATATTCACCACCTTCCTATGCAACAAGGTAGGGATAACCAAAGGTCCTTAAAAATCGATGGGAAAATCTAGCTAAAGAATTTGCATGATTTGCCTTCCTGAGTACAAAATCAATCGTGACTGGTCAAAGCAATTTAAAATATATTAAAATGTATTAGGCATCAATTGGTTCAATTACGCAACTTTCTGAGAAGTTAATTTTACAGGGACTACTGACATTTCCTGGAAAGTTGATTTCTGAGGAAGTTAATATATGAGTTACTTGATTGATTTTCGTATTTCTTGAAAAGTTATAATTATTTCTTAAGAGAAATTGTTTTGTTTGTAAGATAAAATACTAGGCAAGTAGAAGTTGTTAGAGTTCTATTTAAAAAATTACTTCCATAATTGTGAGGAAGTTGAATCTTTTAACGAACCAAGGAAAATGTATTTCACTCCTTGGAATTAAAAGTTTGAATTCCCCTCCCAATTTGACCTCTGACCAAGCGGGGCCTTAGAAGCAACACCATCAATTTTCCAATTCTATCAGTCATTTATGTCACAAGATAACACTACCTCCGATCTTAATTATAAGACATTGTTTTTAAATTAACGTCTTAAAAATGTTGTGAAATTATCCATATATTATTTTTTATTCTAATTATAAGACCTCATTTATAAATTACAAACGAGATCTTATAATTAGGACAAAAAATAACATGGATAATTTCACATTTTTAAGACGTCGATTCAAATTTTACTTCCTTTCATTTTCAAATGCTGGCTGCCTAAATGAAAATTTCATATAGTCAAACTTTTTTTTAAAGGAATTTCCCATTATTATATGCACATAATTTAATATAAATTTAATATTTAGCTGTGATTGGCTCCTTTTAGTTTAGGACGAATCACAGCCCAACCTTTTGTAAGAGGCTTATTTATTCTTATGCCACTTAGATTTGGGAAAGGGGGGGGGGAGACGTTAGCATGTTATATAGTTCATAATTTTAAAAAGATCTTAACTCTAAGAGATCGAAGTACAAATGATAGCTTAAGAGATTTGATTGTAATTCTTTCTTTAGAGTGCCTGTTTGGGGTGCCTTGAACACCATTTTTCCATTATACGAGTCAAATTGTTAGAAAAGTTTTGCCACTTGAAACATGGAAGTGATTCTTACAAGTGATTAGCCAAATCAATATTGCACCATTGCTCATTAACATTTTTGCAGGCAACATTATCTGTTGATTAAAGAGGTGGATAGGCGCATGATACGTGCAGGTAAGCTTCAATCACTGAATTGCCTTTAATATAGAGGAACGCATTTTAAGAATGAGACAGAGAACTCAAACAATTACCAAAACACAATGATATATCTCAATGGCTTGCATTTTGGATCAATTACAGAATAATTAGCATATTATTTTCAATCATTCTAACGCCCATAACATTCATTAAAATAATACATATTGTACAACTAAAAGAGAAGGGAAAAGAAAAAGTAACAGATTTGAAGATGAAATATGAGTCTTGTACATATTTTTTTTATTATTATTTGTGAATGCGTTATGCATGAGTATCAAAGATCTAATTTAGTGTCAATGAGATGATACCTCCCAGATTAGTTGCTGTGGGTGATGTTTGAGTAAGATACTACCACACTAATCCCTTTCTTCTCCTAAACCTATCAATAAGGTCAGTGCTCATCCTAGACTTTTCAGGTTTGTTCGAATTTCTAGACTTCTCAAGGCGACTATCTAAACTGTTTCTAGAAGCTTCTGGAAGCACTGCACCCAATACAGATGCAGCATCAGAAGTTCCACTCTCAGATTCTTCTTTCGTAGCTTTGCCTTGGTTATCAGTCTCTACAGAATCACCCTTGCTAGTTCCATTAGCTGTAATTGCTTTAGCCTTGGCTTTAGATTTGGCAATTGTCTGTACAAATTTCTTTAGATGTTTAATGAATTCAGGGTACAGCTCAAGATTACAATGGCCACCACCTCTTACCCATAAAGGTTCATACTTTACCTTGCAAAGCTCCCAAAGCTTCTTTCCATGGGACCAATGCACAACTTCATCTGCTGTCCCCTGTGCATTGAGCAACACGTCACTTAAGAAGGCCAAAAGAAAAAGAACACCAGAACACACACATGTTGAGAGAAAAGTCACTTACATGTATGACCAAAACAGGACAGTTCGCCAAGCATATTTTATCAATATTCTGGTGGGTAAAGATAAGAAAAGAAACCGCATGAGTCACCCGTGTCAGGAAGGGAACAGATTAATTCAAATAAAAAATAAAGCTCTACCTTGTAAATATCAAACCAGTATGTCCGTTTTACAGGATACAGCACTCTCATCCCCGACAAAATTGGACTGTGCAACACGACGCCTCTCAATTCTGGTACTCGAGAAGCAAGATCAAGCGTCGGACCACTACCAACAGATTGACCATATAATATTAGTTGATCATCTTTCACCCCATATTGCTCTTTTAGGCATTTATATGCAGCATCAATATCTGCATATGTATTAGATTCAGTTGGCTGTTTCAACAGAGGAAAAAGCGGCATCCGTTAAGTTACAGGCAAGAATGTAGCTCCAGATCCATTTACAAAAACACACTAATAGCACAGACAGTGTTGGTAGTCCATCGTACAAATGAATAAATGTCCTTAAAAACCCAGATTTCCCATAAAATTATTTAAACACGTCAATTTTGCCTTCATTTTAGCTTCAGTTCAACGTGAAGCTCTAACTACTGAAACCGTAATGCAAATTCATGAATGAAAGTCAAACAATACAAAATCCTATCACAATTATCCAGTGATCATGGAAAAACAACCTCCCAGAACAGTAAAACCGATTAAAACAAGTGGGCGTCCTATTTCCCAGACTAGACTCACTCATAGACAGAACAATTTAACCTAAGAGGAAGAAAACAACATAACTTCAAAAGGAACTTTAGCAAGATTTGAGTAAAATAATCCACGGCAATGTGATGGCGGCGGTCTCTATTGCTTAAAGCCAGCCTACCAACAGAGGGGATAAATCTGAGATGAGTCACAGATGGCAACGGCAGTGGCTCTCTACTGCAGCTGGATCAATGACTAGTCATTTGGTCAATTGTTTTGTGTAACTCTACAGGTAAGGTTTAATAAACACTTCCAGAAAAATTGTGTGATTGCCAAAGTCAAAATTAATTCTCACTCTATCATCCTGAATCCTCAAAAAACGCTTAAAGCTATCAGTAATCATGCTGTGATAAGGTTGCCCTTCCCTTACCATTCAAGTGAAACATGGAAACTTGAACAAAACCATGATAGAAAGTTTGCCGCCAATTTGAGTGTTATTAGCTGACTGGGCATACTCTCATATACAGATCAAGGTTTTATTTAGAATGTAAGAGGGAATAGGAAAAAAATAAAAAGAAAAAAGGAACAGTACCAAAAGAAAAGAGACCGTGTCAGAAAGGGATAATCATCAAATGAAACTCAACCTCGGCTTTCTAAGAAAGTCCTATAGAAATCCTCAAAGGTGGGTTCATATGTTTTTGGCAGCAGTTATTCTTTCTACATAATGGGCCAGTGATGTAGTAGAGGTCAAGCACCAGATATCAAATGTTAGAATGAAAAACAATTAAGAAAAGAAATGGAAAATGGGCAGACACTGAAAACCAGATATTCACAAGCTTGTCACCGAGCTAGTATATAATACTCCTCCGGTCCTTATTATAAGACCCCATTTGACTTTTTATTTGGTCCTAATTATAAGACCCCAATCCATTTTGTCTCTTATATTTATGCATTTTTTTCCAAGATAATCCTTCTAATAATGATAGTTTTAGCCAATATACTTAATTAGCAAGGATATTTTAGGAATGACAACACTTATTTATTATAAATAACCAACTTAACTTACTTTCTTAATCTCCTCAAATAAGTCAATTGGGTCTTATAATTAGGACCGGAGGAGTAATAATTATTTTTAAAAAAAAAAGTCTTATCCCACTAATAAGATCGGCTACATAGATCACACATTGTCATTTTGCTCTATTAGTGACCAATTATCTAGATATGTCATTTACCAATAGGTTTGTTCAATAACTTCGTATGCGAGTATATAATAATCCATATAAAAGACAAACCTTAGAACACCCTAGTTTCTGTGGGGCATGAGATGCCATGCTAATATTTGAAAGTAAATCCAAATAAAAACCCTACTTGATTAGGAGAAAATCAATTAAACC